CATCTAATGAAAAGGGAACCCCTCACTGCCTTAACTATTACAACTCTCCTTACCATCGAGAGAATAGGAGCTGGAACTAGGGTGGCATCCCTAGTAAATCAACAAAAAGAATTTAAAGCATTAAGAATTTCAGTAAATGAAAATCTGAGTAAAATTGAGCAGGCCATCGATAGATTGGTAAAATCATTAAAGTCCCTATCTGAGGTAGTGTTACAGAACAGAAGGGGTTTAGACTTGCTATTATTACAACAAGGGAGATTGTGTGTAGCCCTAAAGGAGGAATGCTGTGCATACGCTGATCATACTGGAATTGTTACAGACACCATAGCAGAATTAAAGAGAAGATTAGAGCAGAGAAAGAGAGAAAGAAAGGCACAGCAAAGTTAGTATGAATCATGGTTCAATCAATCTCCTTGGTTAACTACCTTGCTATCCACCCTTGCAAGACCTCTGATACTGATAATATTGGGACTGACCTTTAGGCCATGCATCTTCAATAAGGCAATAAAAATAGCGCCGTTTTGCGCGCCGTTGGTGGAGCAGGAGACTCCCCGGCCGCCCAGCGCTGGATTTTGCCTGCCTTACTCGCTTGCTAATTTTAAATAAAATTGCTTTATTGAATTAAGACACTTCAAATTGCCGTGTCACAATTTATAACACAAGGGTCCCGCTTTGGCTCTCTGGGGTCCTTTCAGTCCTTGAGGTATGTTGTGCTTGGCAGAGGGGCAGGGCAAGGGAGAAGGCTGTGAAGAGCAGGTTTGGCATCCACCTGGACCTACGGAGACCGACCCAAGCACCTGCAGCAAGGTGTGATCCCCCGCTTTGGACAGAGGTGTGAGCAGAAGCATCTCTGTCCATCTGTGAGCCCCAAAGCTCTCTCTGAGAGCTGTGAATTAAAAGGCCTTTACACACACACTTTTCACATCTTCCCTGTCTGCTGTGTTTCAACTCTTGGCTACATGCATTTGCCCTTGCTTGGTGGAAGCTGCTGTGGCCCAGGGCCAGCACAGAGCTGGGCTGTGTGGGCCAGGCAGCATGGAGAGTTTTGGCTGATCTTGGTTTGTCCCTGGCCTCAGAAAAGGCTTGGAAGGATTGCCTCCCAAGGTGTCCTGCTCCTTGGCTCTCCCTGTGCATCTTGGAGGGAACAAGGTAGGCCTTTCTGGCAGCTGGGCATCAACAGGCCTTAAAATGGGGGTGTGTTGTGGAGTGAGCCCAGCTGAGATACCCTGAGAGGAGCCCAGGGCTCCTTGCTCCCCTCTTCTGACACCTGAGCATTTGTCTGGTTTCGGGATGAGCCTGGCTGTGTGAGGGGTGCTATGTGGGCACGACACAGGCAGTCCTGTCCTGCTGGGTCCCAGCAGTGCCTCACAGCAGTTCTGCATCCATGAGGATGCTGGCCAAGAGAAGTCCTGGAAGCTGAGGCAGCAGATTTTAAGCTTGTGCAGCTGCCTACAGGTCAAGGCCAATGGTGTTCCTTCAGGATATAGCAGTCCTGAGGGGTCTCCCTCATTCAAAGAAATCGGCAGACAAATGCACTGTCCACCAAAAGCTCTTTTATTGACCTGGTGGGAGGGCGGGGGTCTGCACCCCACTAAAATATTCCTCCGCCATATATAAACTTCAGTGGGTTGATGCAGGAATTGTATCAAACCTACTGTCCATCTTTACACTGCTGAGGTGATTCGATAGGCGGGGGTTGGAAATATGTTGGCTCAGATTTCTATACTTGAAGCTGATGTCCAGGCACTGGCCAGGAGCGGTCTCAATGCCCTAAAGCAGCACAAAGTCTTCCTCATGGCTTCCCTGCACAGGGCTGACTCCACACTTGCCCTTAGTTCTTCTGGTAGACTATGTCTAAAGCTTTTTGTCAAGTCACTCTCAGGTCAAGTTAGGCCTGCCAGGTTTTTCTTATGCTAACTGGTGCTGAGTACTTATGTATGGCTGTGCTAATTACCTGTTTACTTTTGTGAATTGCTTGGGCTTACTTATGTCAAACAAAGGCTTTGTTTCATTGCCAAAGGTGTTTGAGGCCACCCCCTTCTTGTGGCATCAGTTGCTTTCCTGTGGAATGTTCTGCCTCCCCAAGAGTAAAGAGGGAGCTGGAGAAAGAGCTTGCCAGGCTGCTCTCCATCCTTTACCAGCACTCCTGGTTCAGTGGAGAAGTCCGAGCTGAGCGCAAAGGTGCAGATGGAACAGCCGTGCACGGGAAGGCTTGGTGGGAAGGATGATCCAGGATCCATAGGCCTGGCAGCCTGAGCTTGCTCCAGGGGAAGGCCTTGAAGCAGATCCTCCCGAGTGCCATCCCACGGCATGTGCAGGGAACCAAGGTGTCTGCTGGAGGGTGGGAAAGCTCTGCAGAGGGACAGGGACAGCTGGGGCTCCTGGTGGGGTGTTGAGGGCTTCTGTGCCGGAGTTTGGAGGAGTTGGTGTTGGTGGGGTGCTGGGGAAGGAGTTGTCTGGAAGGTGAGAGCTCTAGGCTGGAATTAGAGTCACTCTGAAGGCAGCATGTGTGCTTTGGCACAGCTTTGGTTACAGAGGGCAGAAAGAATATTTGTGACTTTTCCTTTTCATGGTCCTGATTCTCCTGCAGGGAACAAGAGGGGAGAGCTGTACTTTATTGGACAATTAGTTATCTGTATCAGGGGGAGGATTAGCCCTTTTGCCATCTATTCATTTGTTTGAGCTACTTTTGTACCACTGAGTGGACTTTCATTTCTTGAGAGCTTTTATTCCTTAAGAGACCTAGGATATTATCATCCCTTCATAGAAAACCATTTGCAAACCTAAGAATGGCTCTTGGTTTTGCCCTTTTTTTGTGTAGTGTTATGTTCTGTAAAGTGACCCTCAATGGATGAGGTTAAGTCAAATGAGTTGCTACTTTGAGATGGGAAGCAAAATTCCAAATTTTCACCTCCTCAGGCCATCCCAATTAATTTGGGAACTACTAGAGTTGAGACATGGGATGTGAAGCTTTCCTGAATGGAGGATTCTTACTTGCCAGATTTTTCTGTGCCTTTGCCGCTAAGGTGTTTTTGTGCTTGTTATGTGTAGTAGATATAATTCATGCCATTTCTAATATGATATATGTGATATTGAATATTTGTTAGAGTATACACATTTGTATTAGGATTTCCCCCCCACCCTCGCAGGCAAGACTGGGTGTATATTAGAAACTAATTTACAAATAAGAAGGTACGGATCCCCAGGAGATGGGCCATGTCTGGGGAGATATGGAAACCCCAGGTGCTGTTCATCGCATAAACGACCCGAGATGGATATAATGAAAATCCTCAGACAGATACATGTGAATGAAGCCTTCCCATAAATTTCATCAAGGAATTCAACAAACTCTGGACACTGAATTGTTCTCCCTCATCACCAAAAAAGAGAATCTTATTAACATATTGACTCTAAATAGAAGAAAAGACTGATTGCTGAAATCTTAGCCTCAGGTGGAATTTTCCCTATAAAAACTGCTTGTGCCAGGATGAAGGTGTGTGGGCATAGAGGAAAACCTTTGCTGAGGCGGACTCCTTGTTGCACACCCAGGGCTGACCCCGGGCTCGGCTCTGTTCTTTCCTTGTGGCTGGCTAGATAGAATTTTATTGCAAAATAATTTTTTTTTTTATATTAATTTGGCTGGACAAGTTTTCATTTATAACATGCTGAAGGCAATAACTTCAATGAGAAAATAATTTCAGCATGGAGTAAGAGCTTCTGACAGAGACCAAGTGTTGCCAGCAGTTGCTCCAGGTGCTCCTGCCAACAGCCCCTGCAGGCAGGAGCACAGCCCCCAACCCACCTGGGCTTTGGCTCCCTCTGGCACAGAAGCCCCCAGGGTCACAGGTCTCTGGGGCAGGACACAGGCACCAGCGCTGGCAGGGCTCGGGGGGTGGCAGGACTGCTTGAGCAGGGACTCTGCCTCACTTGCTGATGTCAACGCTCCCTGGGCCCCAGGGGTCAGAGCAGCATTCATGCCCTGGCCCACAGTTCCTTGTCTGTGTCACACCCACGGGTTTAGGATGGCCATGAGCTGGGATGTGTCCCAAGGAGGCCATGCCAGCTTCTGTGGAAGGCCCCGTGCCCTTCCCAGCGCAGCTGTGTCGGCAGCCCTGGGGGCTCCTTCTGCTGCCCTGAGCCCGCAGAGCAGGGCAGCATTTGCTGATGGTTTGAGCCATTCCTAAAGACCCTGTCGGGCTGTCTTAGACACTTGGGGTGAGGGATTCCTTCCAACCTGAGCCACTTTGGGTGGGCTGGGGGCGGCTGTAGCACAGGAGGCAGTGTGTGCAGGGGCCCTTTGTGACACACTGCAGCATGGTCACCATGGCATGGAACAGCGTGTCCAAGGGCCCTTTGTGACACATGGTGACATAGGAGCTGACAGTGACAGGACCATGCCACAGTGCTCCAAGCACGCGATGGGACAGGACGGGACAGAACAGTGCTGTGAGGAGCTCCGTACAGCACACTCATTCATGTCTGATTCAGAGATTTCTGAGGCATTATTCCTGCAGCTGACCTTGAGGCCAGACCACAGGACTTGCTGATCTGTGACCTTCCTGAGGCTTCTTTTCTGCAGGTGCCCTCGAGGGCAGAGTGTGGGACTTGGTGCCCTGGAGGCATCTCCCATCCCTGCCACCAGTGCCCTCGAGGCCAGAGCACAATCCCTGACAACAGTCTCCTGGGCTTGTGGCAGGAGTCCTTGAGACCAGAGTGCAGGACGTACTGCCCTGTAGCCTTCCTGAGGCTTCTCTCTTGAAGGTGCCGTGCAGGCACGAAAGCAGGACTTGCTGACTCAGAGTTTTCCGAGGCATCTCTCCTGCAAGTAGCCACAGATCTAGTCACTGACACGGAGCAGAGACCTCCAAGAGTACCCAAGCTGGCCTGGCTGAAGGAAGAGGAAGAAGGCCCTGGAGCTGCCCCAGTGCACGAGACTGAAGAGGTGGTGCCATTCAAGCAGCTGCAGGAGTGTGAGTGGCAGAGCTGGGTTGCTGGGCTGCATGGTGGGTGGCTGCGGCCAGCTTGGCCACATCCCATTGCATCGCATCGCATCGCGAGGCTCTCCCTTCCGGGCAAGAACAGGGCTGGGCCGTGTTCTCCGGCCTCTCCTGCAGCCCCTCAGCAGCTCTGGCTGTGCTCGCTCTTTACCAGATGCAGCCCTGGACCGGACACAAGAACAGGAACCCGCCCATGGCCGCTTCCGCAGAACAGCGCAGGTACCTGCGGCCATCCCCACCTGGGCTGGGCCTGCTGGCACTGCTCAGCTGAGCACCAAGTGGTTGGAGCACTCCATGCATTCTCCCTCTCTTCCTGCCCTTCTCCTGTAGACCATCTGTCAATTCATCACGTGCATTTGGCAGGAAGAGACCACAGGTGTGGGCACCAGGATCTTGGCAAGCTTTCACCTCTTCAGTGCCAAGACCAGTGCTGCCATGCTGGATTTGCTGGTGGAGAAGGGTGTTTCCAATGCAAAGCAAGTAAGCAGTCTGGGGCAAGGGCTTGATTGCCCCAGGAATGGTGTGGCACATCATGCTGGGTCTGCTGGGCTCCCTCAGCCTGTGAGGCCCAGACCAATGTGGTGGAAAGGGAAGCACTTCTCAGGGGAAGCTGGGCAAATTGCTGCCCTGGCAGCTCTCCAAGTCTCCCTGTGCCTTCTGTAGGTGCCAGCCATGGTGAGGTACATCCACCGGTGGCTCATGGCCAACAAGTCTGCTGAGCACAGGCTGGACAAAGCCCTTCTGGAGCTGACCAAGGAATACCCCTCTGATGTGCTGATCACTCTCTTGCGCTGGGCCCCATCGTGTGACAGGCATGGCATCCCCACCTGCCTTGAGGCCTTAGGCTTCACCAGCCCCCCCACCCTGTAGAGCCTGTCCCTGCCAGACAGGTGGAGAGTTCCAGGACCCTCTTGACCCCTCTGTTTTCCAGTCCTGGCATGTCAACTCCGGAGCCTGCTGCCATGCTCCCTCCCTGCCCCTCAGGGCCTGGACCCATGTGGGCTGGCTGGCTGCTGCCAGCCAGGGCCAGGAGTCAGAGGCAGGGCTGAGGGCCAGTGCAGGCCCCTGCAGCTGCCCAGGCCACGGTGCTGTGGCTGAGACCCCCCTGACACAGAACTCTGGCCCCACAGAGCTGCCGTGACCATGTGGGGGACCATCATGTCCTCGAGCAGGACCGTGGAGCCAGCGCTGCAGATCCTCCTCGATGTGCTGAGTGCCTGGCCAGAGGACAGCATGTACACCTCTGATGGGGAGAGCACAGGGGTCTTTGCCCTGGCTGTGAGTTTCTGGAAGCGGCCTTTGCCAGCCCCAAGGCCACCTCTCCAGCAGCTAGCTCTCTGCCCTGCCCCGAGCTGCATCTCCCTGCCTCAGGCGCTGGGCTGAAACCTGGCTTGGGGGCAAGGTTCTGGGGCACCAGGCCGGCTGCTCCCCATGTGTCTACCTTGGCCTCTCCCTCGCAGGCTGGGGCCATGGCACATGCATGTCTTCGCACTGATTGCTGTCTCTTGCTGTTTTATTTCTTGCAGGCAACCTTGACACTGTGGACAGTCTTCAATCTGACCTGGTGCCCACCTGTAGCGCTGGAGTATTTTCCCAATCTCTTTCTGCATCTGCTCTTCCAAGCTTACATCAGCACGCTGGATATGCCAGAAGAGGTGGATACCTTCTGGAAGAAATGCCAGGAGCAACACAGCCTTGCTGCCCACCCCAACAGGTGCTCCATCCCAGTCTTCCCAGTCTCCCCATCCCTGCCATGCTCCCAGGGCAGGAGCCGGGCCTCCCAGTGTGACCTGGGCTTTGCTCTGCACACAGCTTTGCACTGCAGACCCTGAAGGCCCTGCTCTGCCAAATGCAGTACGAGGACGTGATGCTAGTAATGGAATGCAGGTGTGCCTGGAACACGCTGCTCTGTGCTGACACCCACCACTATGCAGTGGGTCTGCTGTCCAGGTGACACCTCATTCTCCCCACCACCCCTCTCCTTTGTGCCCAGATCACCCCACGCAGTCCCTGTGCTCATGGGTGGCAGGGCCTTGTCCCCAAGGGAGGGATGAGCAGACTGGAAAAGGCTGGGAGAGGAGGGTGCCCTGGAGCAGCTGCCTCCCAAAGCACCTGTGCTCGGGAGTGCTCAGGAAAAGACCAGACCTCTGTAAGTCAGCCCTGGGAGAGGTTTGGCCACTCAGCTCAGGAGCAATGGTGCCTTTTTCTCCCCCCCAGGGAGATGCACTGTGTCTCCATCATCTGGTGTTGCAGCATCGCATCCTGCCTCTTTGACCTACTCAGCCAAGACATTTCAGACTGGGAACTGCCTGCCCTGGCCTTCCTGGTGGAGGTGAGCCCGATGGCCAGCACTGCCTCTCTCAGCTGCCTCCCATGATTCTGCCCTCTCGTAGCCGCAGCTGCCTGGGACGGTGCTCTGTGCTGCTGCCTTGGCTCAGCCCTGTGCGGTTTCTGAGCTCCTGCCAGCTGGGCACTCCTGTCACTGCTCTGTGCCTTTCAGGTCCTGGACTGCCTGGACTTGAGTGCATGCAGTGAAAAGGTCCTTCAGATCATGACAAAGCACCTGCAGAGCAAGTCCAGGGATGTGTGTCGCGTGGCGCTCAGACGCCTTGTGGTGCTCAGCCAGGACCCCTCGATGGTGAGAAGGAGGCAGCAGCTGAAGCTGTGCTGGCAGCGTGGGGCTGGGGAAAGCAGCCCCTTGGGCTTGGCTAGGCTTTGGGAGCTGTGGCGGCTGCTCCCAGCTCTCCAGGGTGGCTGTTCAGCTGCCTGAGTGCTCTGGGACAGGTCTTCGGCCTCTGAGCCCTGCAGCAGCAGCAGCAGCAGCAGTGTGGGGTTGCCCAGCCTTGTTTTCCACACAGAATGAAAGAATGTACAGCCTGACTGAAAGCCTCGGCAACCTCCTGCGGGCCGTGGATGAAGACATTGTTGAGATGACGGTCGTTGTTCTCAGCTCTCTGCTCTTCAACAAAGACCTTGCAATAGCCAGCCCCATTGCCCTGCAGCTGGCTGAGGCGCTCTGGCAACTCTTTGACAATGTAAGGCTCTGTGCCCCCAGCCACGGGCACTGGGCACCGCCTGGAAGCCCGGTGCCTTGGGCCTGTGCACAAGGGGGCCTGAAGCAGCTGATATGGAGGGGTTTTGCTTCCTTTCCAACACGACAGCCTTGTGAAGCTGCTCTCCGTTTGCCTCTTCCAAGAGGTGATGAACTTGGTGGTGGCCAAGGGAAAAAAGTCCCTGAAGAAGCATGTGAGCCAGAGCCTGCTCCCACTCTTCTTCAACTGTCACGATGAGAACTGGCGTGTGGCACAGGCGAGGGCTTCTGGGCACCAGGGTCCCCATGGCAGGGGGTTCAGCTGTCTCCCCACAGCCTGGCTCCTCCTCATGGGCTCCAGCTCCCTCCTGGCCTGGGCACAGGGACGCGGCTCCTGTGCCCTGGGCTGCGGTACCATCTCCGGCTCTCTGCCGCTCTGCAGGCCTCTCAGGAAATGCTGCTTTCTGCAGTAAGGTTCCTGAAGAGAAGGGATCTGCAGCAGCTGGTGAAAACGGATCAGATGTGGAGCTTTGCCGAGCGCTTGGTAAGCACAGCCCGGAAGCCCCAGCCCCGGCCTGGAGAAGCCGCCTGCCCACGGTGCCCAGTCTGTGCCCTGGCAGCTGCGGCCCCTGCCCAGTGCTGCCCGCAGGGGCACCGGCTGGCGCCCCACACGCCGCTGCCTTCCCTGGGCCGCGCGGGCTCTGCTCCAGGCTCCTCTGGCCCCAAGGCCGGTGCTGAGGGAGCCCCGAGGCAGCCGGGCTCTGCCGCGGGGCGGCACCGCGGCTCGCCGGGCCCTCTGCTCCCTGCAGAGCCCGGCGCCTGCGGCTGCTGGCCGGGCCTCGGCGCTGTGTGGGCAGGGGGAGCGGCGCCGGGCGGAGGGAGCGCCCGGCCGAGGGGCAGGGCCCGCACCAACCCTTCCCTTCGTGCCCCGCCGCTCTCTGCAGCTGGCAGAGGACAGGAGCCGAGCGGCCGAGCACCTGCGCCGGGCCCTGCCCTATGTGCAGAGCCCACAGGAGCCCCTGCGAGAGGCGGCCGTCAGGTTCATGGGTGAGCCACGAGCCCGGCTCCTTCCCCGCCCCGCCGCAGCTCGGCCCCAGCCCCGCCTGCTGCCCCGGCAGCAGCATCCGCGCGCGGCCATCTGGAGCCCCGCCTGGCCTCGGCGCTGCCGCCGCCCTCTGGCAGCCGTGCCCTGGGGCGGCAGGATGCGCCAGGGGCCCGGGCTGAGCCCTGCCGGGCCAGGAGCCCGTGTGGCCTCGGGGCGGGCAGCGCCCGTGGGCGGCAGCTGTGGCTCTGAAGCCAGCTCACGCTCTCTGTTCCCAAGGGATCGCCGGGCGCTGCCTCAGAGGACAGCAGCAAGAGTTCCGCATCCTCTGCAGGGGTGAGTGAGGCCAGCGGGCTCTCAGCGGGGCTGCCGCTGGCAGCTGCCTTCCCTGGCCCGGCACGCACCAAGGGCAGTGTGGGCAGAGCACACAGACCTCTCGGGGGCCTGTGGCACATTCGTGGCCAGCACCTTCCAGCTCACCCTTCTTGTCTCCTGCTTCCTCCAGGCCATGGCAAGAGCTGCCTGGCATGGACGTGGCAGGAGGGTCTCCCCATGTTTCTGCAGATGCAGGCTCTGACGGTGGCTCTGTTCCTCTCTCTCGCAGCCCTTCAGGACATGGCAGATGACATAAGCCCTGCCATCTCATGCCTGGCCCTTCAAACTCTGTACATCAATTTAGCTGTACAGGCCACTCCCTCCTCCTGACTCCAGAATGTGCAAGATCAACTCCGCCGGCTCTGGAAGTCACGGCCTTTCCCGTGCTGCCGTTGCTGGCTGTCCTGCTGCAGCGCTGTGGAGAACTGATCTGCCAGACTGTGTCTGCTGGGGCCACCTGAGCCTGCGGGGAACAACTCTCCTCTGCAAGCACTTCCTTTTACCCCAGGGTAGTATTAATAAATTGTTGTTGTCATACCCGGAGGTCCAGGAGCTTTCTCTTGGTGCCCAGATTCTTCAGGCCAATGGGGAGGAGGGGAAAAAGGGCACTTGCACTCGACAAGTTGCCCAAGCATGCTGTGGGCAAGGGAAAGTGGCCAAAAGCCCCTTGGCCTTTGGTGGTCCTGCTGAATGTTTTTCTTCCTGCATCAAGTCTTCTGGAGCTGTGGGAACAAGTGTGTTCCGTGTCCATGGAACAGCAGAAAGTGGCAGGATACGTCTGCTTCCAGTGCTTCTCTTGGCTCTTCCTTCACACTGCTGGTACTGTCATCAGAGACACAGAACGGCTTCTCTCATGCCATCATTATCCCAATCTTCTGCACTTCCCCAGCTTCCTCCCAGCTTCACCAAGGTAATTCTTTTCTCATGTCTGTCCATTCCCTTGCCCAGAAGGTTGCACCCGCTTGTCTTTGGACATGAACTGCTGGCCACAGCCAGACAGGCAGCAAACGGAGCATTGGGCATCAGATGCTGGGCTGATGTTCTTTCTCAGAAAGCAAGAAAAACAGAAGTACACAAGGAAACTTGACAGTATCTCTGTAAGAATGTCATTGTCCTCTGGAAGTCAACAGTGGATGGTGTTTTTGTGCTGCAGATTATCACTTCCAAGCATTAAACATTCTAGGAAGGAGCAACAGCTTTTGACAGATACCAAGTGCGGCTACCAAGTGCTGCTCCAGGTGCTCCTGCCTGCAGCCACCTGCAGAAAGGATCACATAGGCACCAAAGCACGTTGGCTTTGGCTGTCCTCTGGCACACAAGTCCTCCAGGGCCACAGGTCTCTGTGGCAGGTGACAGGCACCAGCATCGGCAGAGCTTGGGGGTGGCTGGTCTCCTTTGGCAGGGACTCTGACACACCTGCTGATGTCAGTGTTCACCAGGAGTCAGAGCAGCATTCGTGTTCTGGGCCACACGTCCCGTGTCTGTGTCACACCCCTGTGTGTATGAGGGCCAGCCAGCACTGGAACTGGTCCCAGAGAGGCTGTGGCAGCTTCTGTAGAAGCTCCAGGTGCCCTTCCTGCTTCGGTGCCATTGGCAGCTGTGGCCCTGAGCAGGCAGAGCAGAGGAGCAGCTGCTTGTTGTTTGGGTAGTTCCTAAAGTTCCTGTTGGAACTTCACCACTTGGGTGGTGTCTTCACCACTTGGGGGAAGGTCTTCCTTGCAAGCTGGGGCAGTTTGGCTGGGGTGGGTGTGTCCGCAGGGCACGTGGAGGTGTGTCGTAGGGCTCTTTGTGACACCGTGGTCACTGTGGGAGGGAAAGGGACAAAGTGTACAAGGGTGACCCTTTGTGACACGTCCTGACATAGGTGCTGGTGGCCACACGGCCACGCCACAGTGCTCGGTGCACACAACGGGACAGGACGAGACAGAGCATTGCTGTGAGGAGCCCCCACACAGCCAACTCCTTCCCTGCTGACCCGGAGCTTTTCCAAGGCATTCCCTGTGCAGTTGACATCGAGGCTGGACTGCAGGATTCGGTGGCCCGAAGCATTTCCAAAGCATCTGCCATCCCTGCTGCCAGTGCCTTCGAGGATGGACTGCGGGACTTGCTGCCCTGTTTCTTTTCTGAGATTTCTCCCTTGCTGGTGCCCTCGAAGACAGACTGCAAGACTTACTGCCCTGTAGCCTTCCTGAGGCTTCTCTGTTTCATGTGCCTTCCAGAGACAACTGCAGCACTTGCTCATCTGGAGATTTTCTGAGGCATCTCTCCTGCAACAATCATAACTCCACACAGTGACATGGAGCAGACACCCCCCAGCATGCTCAAGCTGGCCTGGCTGGAGGAAGAAAAGGAGGCTGGAGCTATCTCAGCACACCAGCCTGAAGAGCTGCAGCACTTCCAGCTGCTGCATGAGGGTGAGTGGCAGAGCTAGGCCACATGGCTGGTGCCTGTGGCCAGCTTGGCCCCCTCCCCTCCTGGGCTTCTTGCCCTTCTGCTGCAGATGGTTTGCAAATTCATGAGGAGGATTTGGGAGGAAGAGAGCAGCATCATGGGCACTGTGATCAGAGCGTACTCTCCCATCTTCAAAACCAAGACCAGTGCTGCCCTGCTGGATATGCTTGTGGAGGAGGTGTGGAGAGTTTTGTGGATGAGTGGCTTCGGGAGAGAGGCCATGACTACGTGCAGTTAGTGAAGCAGTAGCTGAAAATTGCATAGTACAGCAATAGCGGATGTAGCAACAATATCATACGACCTTGGGTAAGCTGGTTCCCAACAGTAGAATGGTCAGCAAAAAGATAAGTGTAAGGGAAAGCAAAGCAAGCATAGAAAGCCCAAAAGCGGGATTGACCTGTTTTAGATACACCAATGAGGAGCCTAAGTTTTGCAATATGCATGAGCTTCATTATAACGAGTATAACTGTACATGCGTGCTTGGAATAAACTGAGGCTTGTTGACAGAATGGGCTTGTGTCTTGGTTTGACAAGACAGGAGTCTGTGAAAGAGGGCAAAGCCTCCTGTGCAATGGAGAAGGTAAACCCCCCTCCCTCCGAATTACCAGGATTTTTAAATTAAAAGGCTCTCAGGCAAAGATATGGGAATGGGAGTAACAATTCTTTACTAGGAGAAAAGTAGATAACAATGTAAAAAGGCAAATGCAATCGGTACAAACAAAACTAGTGATAAAGTCCACAACCTGAGGATTCGGGGTGTTGGTAGCAGTCCGGTTGAAATGATAGCTGCTCCTCTTGCAGTGGCTGATGAATTGCAGCTGAAGTGCTGATCTTTAGAAGGGTATAGTTTTCTCTGAAGATCTGGTGGCAGTTGGGCTGGTCTTTCTCTGCGCCGGGGCTGCCTCTGAGCTCCGCTGCCGCCCAGGCCATGCTGCTGTGTCCCAGACTCCTCTGAGACAGAGCTCTGACCCCACAGAGCTGCTTTCACCATGTGGAAGAGCATCATGTGCTCACCCAGGACTGCAGAGCTGGCCATGCTCGTACTCCTTGATGTGCTGGGGAGCTGGCCAGAGCACAGCACGTGCACCTCCGATGGTGACCACGTGGCTGTCCCTGCCCTGGCTGTGAGTTTCTGCCTTTGCTCACCCCAAGCTCTCTTCTCCAGATGCTCTCCATCCTCCCTCCCCCATGGTGTCTCCCTGTCTCAGGCTCTGGGCTGAAACCTGGCCTCGGGGCAGCTCCAGGGCCACCAGGCCCAGTGCTTCCCCTGTGTCTCTCCGGGCCTCTCCCTCACACACTTGGGCCCTGCCACACAGACACCTCGGCAGTGAGCGCTGTCTCAGGCTGCTCTGTCCTTTGCAGGCAACTGTGTTGATGTGGAAGATCCTCCAGGTGCCCTGTGTGCCACATGTAGTGACCATGTATTTCCCCGGCCTCTTTGTGCATCTGCTCTTCCAAGTGCTCTTCAGCACCTTGGATGTGCCAGAGGTGGTCGATACCTTCTGGAAGGGATGCCAGCAGCAACACGGCCTTGCCACCAACCCCAGCAAGTGCTCCATGACAGTCCTCCTGTCCCTGCCATGGGCCCAGGGCAGGAGCCAGTGCTCCCAGCGTGACCTGGGCTTTGCTCTGTGCACAGCTTTGCAGAGCAGACCCTGAAGGCCCTGCTCTGCCGACTGCACTATGAGGATGTGGTGGTGACAATGGAAGACAAGCGTGGATGGGACACACTGCTCTGTGCTGATACCCACCACTGTGCTGTGGGCGTGCTGGCCAGGTGAGACCCCCTGCTCCCCAGCTGTCCCCGGCATGTGTGCCCTGTGCCCGAGGTGCCCCACACAGTCCCTGTGGCCATGGGCCAGAAGGCCTTGTCTCCAAGGGACGGCCAAGGAGGCTGAAAAAAGCTGGGAGAGGAGCATGCCCAAGAACAGCAACCTCCCAGAGGGCTCAGCTGCCCCTTGCAGGGTGGTGGAGAAAGGCCAGACCTCTGTGAGCCAGTCTTAGGAGACGTTTGCCCCTGCTGGCTCAGGGCTTTGACTCCTATTTCCTCCTGTCAGAGAAATGCACCGCGCATCCGAAGCCGTGTGTTCTGTGATTGCATTCCAACTGCTCGGGCTGCTCAGCAAAGACACGCCATGCCGGGATTTGGCCACCCTGGCGTTCCTTGTGGAGGTGAGCCTGAAGACCAGCGCTGTCTTGCTGAGCTGCCTCCCGGCTCTCTGCCCTCTCTTGGCCGCAGTGCCTGGGACGGAGCCCGCGCCCTGTGCTGCTGCCTGGGCCCGGCCCTGGGCGGTTCTGGGCTCCTGACGGCAGCTCCCTCATCACCAGCCTGTGCCTTTCAGATCCTGGAGCGCCTGAACTTGAGTGAATGCCGTGACAGCGTCCTGGAGTTCTTGTCAAAGAACCTGAAGAGCGAGTGCATGTGGAGGTGTTGCTTGGCACTCAGGCCTCGTGGTGCTCGGCACCACCAGTGTCTCGGTGAGAAGAGCGCAGGGGCTCAAGCCATGCTGCCACCATGGGGCTGGGGAAGGCAGTCCCTGGGGCTTGGCTGGCCTTGGGGCACTGGGGCAGCTGCTGCCAGCTCTCCTCCCTCCTGCTGCAGCTGCCAAAGTGCTTTGGCACAGGCCTTTGGCCCCTGGGCCCTGTGGCAGCAGGATGGTGTTTCACACACTTGTGTTCCACAAGTAGATGGCCATAAGGATGTGGAGGCTGCATGAAAGGCTCGTGGAGCTCCTGCAGGAAGATGACAGCGTCATGCTCAGGATGACCACTGTTCTCCTCAGGGGTTTATTTCTCTGCAATGGTGCCCCAATAACAAGCGCACTCGCCCTGCAGCTGGCTGAGGCGCTCCTGCCACTCTTTGACAACATAAGGCTCTGCGCATCCAGCCACGGCCAACAGGTGCTACCCACACACTTTGTGCCCTGTGCATTTACAGGCTGTGTCCAGGTGGGCTGAAGAAGCTGATGCTGAGGTCTTTCTTCCTTCCTTTAATACAGAAGGATAGCCAGGTACAGTTGTGCTCCATGTTTGTCTTGCGAGAGATGCTGGATTTTTTTCCGGAAGAGGAAAAAAAAGCCCTGAAGGCACATGTGTGCCAGAGCCTGCTGCCACTCTTCTTCCACTGTCATGATGAGAACCAGCGAGTGGCAGAGGTGAGGACTTGGCAGCTGCCGCTGGCCCCTGGCAGGGGCTGGGCTGGCCCTGCCCTGGCGCCTCGCAGGCTGCAGCTCCTGCTGGCCTTGGCACAGGGACGGGGTCCTGCACCCTGGGCTGTGGGGCCATCTCCGCGTCTCTGCTGCTCTCCAGGCTTCTCAGGAAACGCTGCTTTGTGCGGCCGAGTTCTTCAAGAGGAGGGATCTTGGACAGCTGGTGAAGAACCAGAAGCTGTGGCAGTTCACCGAGTGCCTGGTAAGGAGGGCCGGGAAGCCGCAGCCCCAGCCTGGAGCAGCCCCTGAGCGCGGTGCTCGGTGTGCGGGCTGGCAGCTGTGCCCCTGCCCGCTGCTGCAGCCCGAGGCCGCGCGGGCTCTGCTCCAGGCTCCTGCGGCCCCAGCCGGGTGCCCATGGAGCCCCGGCCCGGGGGGCTGCGGGGCCAACCCTTCCCTCCTGCCGCTCTCTCCAGCTGGCAGAGGACAGCAGCAGCGTGGCCGAGCACCTGCGCTGGGCCCTGCCCTACCTGCAGAGCCCACAGGAGCCCCTGCGAGAGGCGGCCGTCAGGTTCATGGGTGAGCCACGAGCCGGGCCAGGAGGGTGTGTGGGCACAGGACTGGCGGCGCCGCTGGCAGGGAGCTGTGCCGCTGGGCCTGACAGGCTCTGTGTTCCCAGGGACGGCTGGGCGGTACCTGATGGGGAGGAAGAGCTCCAGCTCATCTGTGAGGGTGAGTGAGGGCAGCGGGCTGCCAGCGGGGGCTGGTGGGGGAGCTTCAAGCCTTGTCCTGGCTGCGGAGGGCTCTGCTCCCTGTGCGGACCAGGGCCGGCGTGGGCAGAGCACACAGAGGTTTCAGGGCACCTGGGGGATTCGTGGCCTGCAGCTTTGGGCTAATCCGGCTGGTCCCTGCTCCCTGCTGGCCATGGCCAGAGCTGACTGGGATGGCCCTGGCACAGGAGTTTCCTCGTGTCCCCTCAGATGTGGGAACTGACCATGGCTCTGTTCCTCTCTCTTCCAGCCCTTGAAGGAATGGCGAATGACATCAGTGTTGCCATCACAAACCTGGCAATTCAAACATTGTACGTCCTCCAGGAAGCAGAGAGAGCTCCATATTCCATCTTTGACAACCTGCATGATCGGCTTTGCAGGGCATGGAGGAGACGGCCTCGTCTGTTGGGGCTTGGCTGGCTGCGCTGCTGGAGCTCTGCAGAGAGCTGATACCAGAGGCTCTGTCTGCTGGGGCCACCTGAGCCCGCCCGCAGGAATGTTTCATTTCTTCAAGATTGTTCTTTCCTTCTTTTTATTTTTCTTTAGCATATAAATATAGGATGTGTTGTAATAGACAGACTCCCAGGATCTTTCTTTTGCTGTCCAGGCTCTGCAGGCCCTAGGGGAAGAGGGAGAAAATGGTTCCTGGGCTCAGCAAGCTGCCCAGGCATGCAGGGTTGCAGGGAAAATGGCCAGAAGCCTCTTGGCCTTTGGTGGTTCTGCTGAAGCCTTTGTGCTGCCCACAGAGCAGATGGGCAGGGGCTGGAGCTGTGGGGATCTCTGTGAGACGGTGCCTGGAGATGGCCACAAGCCCTGTCCCCGCCAGGAAGCACCATCTGTGTCCTCCTGCCCGTGCGTTCCTGGCTGGATTGCTGAGGGCTCCCAGGTGCTTCTTGATGGGGCTCCTCTGGAGCTCCTGTGGGGCTGTGGCGCTGCTGCCAGGCAGGTTGGCCAGGCTGGGGGAGACCCTGAGGGGACGGGGCCATGAAGGGATGAAGGGCTGCGGAAGCCCTGACGGGACGAGGCAGTGGGAAGGCACGGGGGGGACGTGTGAGGGAGTGGGTAACGTTGGCTTGGGGAAGAAAGTGGGTTGGAGCCAAAGAGACCACTCACCCCGATGTTCATGTGGCAAACAGAGCATGTTTATTCTCAAGCCCTTCCTTCCAAAGGGCCTTTGAAAAACCCAGTCTGGATGATTTCACTGGTCTGATCTCTATGCCCCTTCAGATTCTGGCCTGGGGAATGCCTGCAGCCTTTGGAGAGATGTGATGGGCCAGGCCCCTGTCAGTCAAACCAGGGCTGGTACATTCACCCAGTACAAGCCAGCCTGCATGGTGACACACGGCAACAGAGTGCGAGGCACAGCTCCGGGAGCTCCCCGGGAACCTCAGCTCTGGGACCACTGTCTGCCCCAAGCTTCAGGGGCTGCAGTGGGATCCCAGCTGGGCTCTGCCCTGGAGTCATCCTGCAGGGACAGCTGCAAACAGGGAGCAATCCCTGCCACAAAGAGCCAAGGCAGGGCTGCAGGGCAGCTGCTCCAGCCCTGACTGCACTGCTGTGTGCTGTGCTCTGGGGCTGGGGCTCCCCGCACAGGGGACTGCACTGGTGTGCCAGAGGAGACAGAGAAGCTGCAGCTTCAGCCTAACTGAGGTGGGTGCGTGGGCTGGGAGGAGTGGGGAGGTTCAAGGGGATTCACAGATCTCATCTTGCTGCAAGGACGAGGAAAAGGGAGTGGGAACTCAGCAGTGAGGAGAGCTGGGGGCTGGAGAGCAGCTCTGAATGACACTAAAATCCCACTGGACCTCTGAGACATTGCTGCTCCTCAGCCAGTGACAGGATGAGTCCCTAAGCCTGGGGCTCGGCCTTCCTCATGGCGAGGGGCACCAAGGAAGGCAACAGTGTGATGGAGATTGGAATGGGCTGGGAGCTCACTGGGGGAAAAGAGGGAGCAGTTGGGAAGTAAAAGGCAGCTGGGGGAGAGAACAGTTCAGAGAAGGGCTGAGCTACTGCGTGAGCAAGCTGCAAAAAGTCATTAGGGATCATCCCAGATTGTTTTCATTTCAGAAGTTATTGAACGAGTTTATTTTTTGGGTGGTGGCATGTTTTCCCTTGGAGGTGTACACTCTACAAACTTGAGCTGTGTTTCTGAAATGCTCAAGCAAGTCTGTGCTGCAGGTCACCCCATTTCTCCTTTGGCTGATTGCAGCCCGGTGCTGAGCTCCAGCAGGGCCCTGGCAGAGCCCAGAGCAGCCTCAGCACCCGCAGAGCCCAGCTGCAAGGAGAGAAACCAGAAAGCCCCATCAGCTGAAGTCTCCTGTCCCCTTGTCCCAGCCACCCACGGTGCCCAGGCCATGCTGGCTGTGCCCAGAGCTGTGCCCAGAGATGCCCTTCACTGCTGCCTTTGGTAGCAGAGCAGGAGGGCAGGACATGTGCCCAGCCTGCAGCCAGCCACGGCACTTCCAGCCCTCAGCAGCTGCCCAGAGCAGGATGCTCCTGTGCTCGCTGCCATCTCCCCAGAGCTCTGATCCCACCATCCCCAGCAGACAGGATCCACCTCACACCATCCCCTGCTGGAAGAAAAGCTGGTCCCAAAGGATGCCTGTGGGATGAACATGCTCCAGCACGGTGTGGGTGGAGGGAGGCAGAGATCTCTGAAGCTTGCTCTTGGGGAAAGAGGTTTATTGGGGGTGCAGGAAGG